CTTGAAGTTTAACTAAATTTAGGTTAATAACACACTTTTTGACCCTATACAGGTCACGGATCAAAGACCATGTCATCACGTTTGTTGACTCGTATTCAAAATTTTATTGAACTATTATTTCATGAATGTATGTCAATAAGTTTGTAATCAAATGTAGATTATAATTCAAATTCCAGTATTATACATTAGTTAATTTCTTAATTTAACAGTAAATATCAAAAAAAGAAATCCTAAATATCGATTTTTGTGTGTCACGTGGCATGTTGAATGCAGCATTGCTTCAAATTAGATATAGATTCTTACAAATTAAGAACTCAAATTACCAATATTGACAAGCTAGAATCTAAAATAAGAGCCTCCTATCTTTTCTGTTTGTCCAGAAATTGCTACATATACTGAATCTAACACAGTGGCCCTGCCCACTTCTTTCCATTTTTCGAAACACTTGTTTATGTACACCTACTTCTGGCAATGATGTGTGAATAACCAATCCTAATCTCAGGATGTCCCCCTAGTGGCTTTCTCAGTCTCTTTGAAGTATTCGGGAGGCAAACTATAGTTTTTTTCTAAAAAACATTTGATAATCATTTAGACATTATAAAGATTTTGCATGTGAAATTTGAAAATGTTCTGATGCATAAAAGTATTTTTAATCTTAAAATCAAAATTACTTTGCATGTTGGATAATCAACATTAAAAAAAAAAGGCATGGTAAAAACATTACTTAAGAAATCTTAAAACTTAATAAAAACATCTGATATTTTGCTCACGAAAACCTAGTAATGTTTACTAATAATCTGCAAAATTCAGTAAAGATATGCGTACATTATCAAAAATCATAGTATAATTACTGTCATGAATACTTTCATGGTTACGAGCTGGGTGGATCCCACCCACACAGTATTGGTAGGGTTAACATGACTATAACAACAAAAACGTATATGAAAAAGAAATTGAACCTGTGATAATTTAAGTCCTATAAATATGGATATGCACAACAATGGGTAAGAGCAAATGGTCTGATTTTCAGAGGGGTATGATAATGGGTAGCAGGAATATTGTTTCAAAAAACTGTCCATAGGCAATTGTAAAATTATCAATACCAGCAATGAAAAGAAAATGTATCTGCCACTAGGAACACCTGTGCTGATAAGTCAAGGAAAAATTCAGTTGGATAGGCTTATACTTCCTGTGTACCAACTGATTGATTTCTTTAAAAGTGGTCAGGATTCAGTTATCTCCAACCATGTTATAAGAAGAACATCCACATACAAAAACTAATATGGGAGCCATCAACTGTCTGAAAAACAATTATCTCAAGTGCAAACCAGATAACATAACATCAGTGTGTTCACAGCATAAGCAGTGGACACAGAATAACTGAAAGCATGTGATGTAATATTGTGTATATTTTATTTTCTTCAGTACTAACAGTGGAATAAAAATATGAACCAAAAATTCATGAGGCATTTGATCTTGCTTGATTGTTCATTCTGATAGTAAAAACCGAAAATCAGTGGTGTAACTCTCTCAACACGGGCTCTATCTATTTGACTGACCACGTGACTTATTTGTACGCGTTTAAGTCTTTATAGATTTGATACCTCTAACTTTTAATATAGTATGTATAGCTTCATAAAATTTGGCAGTCTTACAGTAAACATTATAAATCTTTCACATATAAAAACCCATACTTTTTAGTGAAGTATTTTAAATAAACTAAAAAAAACATTTGATTATTAATATATCTAGTATTTGTTCTGAATTGTCCATATGCAAAATGATTTTCATTTTAAGATTAAAAATACTTTTCTTCATCTCAAAAATTTCAAATTTAATTTGTTTAATCTCTAAAACCTCCTAAATACATTTCAAATGTTTGTTTTCAGTAAAACTTTATATTTTATTTGTTATTTTCTCTATCTAAACTCTATACAAAATTGTTTAATTTTGACCAACCTTGTATCCACCAAAAACTTTAAACTTGTAATAATATATAACTTTTTGTAATTAAATTTTATTGTTTTATTGCCATTTGAACTGTGTATAACTACTATTTGTGCCATTATAAGTTGTAAATCATTTGGGGAAAGTGGAGGTCATGATTTGCTATTGAATTACATTAACCACGAACTGCTTTCATGCGTGTATCTTGAAACATTTTTATTACATTATTATTATATATTTCAGCTAATCTAACCTTAACTAGCCTAAAGAGATCCCTATTTTTACATTTTAGTTACTTTTATAATAAATAAAGAATAAACATGAAAAACAAGAAATACCCGAGTATTATTTTTTCTGTTGTCAAGTGTCAATGACACTTAACCCTACTTTTTTTATAGTAATGGTAGTAATACACTGAGTAATTTTCAATGCACCAAAGAACATAGAATAATAATATACAAAAAGTAGACAATTTCCCTCAACTCTCACAACTTTTCTGCCTTTATAACTATGCGACAAGAGCCATCACAAATTCATCCAAGCTAGTTGTTATTTTTCTCATAGGAATGAAGCTTGTACTAACAGTGAAACTGACAATTTTCTGTTCAGAACACAATGTAATATACAACATCATTTAATAGGTTAAAACCTTGGCTTTCTATTGGTTATAGATAATACAGAATAAAATGTGAGAGAGAACTAATAAAAAATTCTGAAAGAGAAGATGTGACAGGTGGGTGTGGCAAGAGGGGGTCTGATTTTCTATTTGATAGTTCTGTAAGCAAACAAAACTGAAGGCTATAAAAATTATGGTTTCTCTGAGCAATGACCTTTTATAGTGAGTAATTTACATTTCTTTTCACTTATTGGAAGGGTGGTGGATAAAACAGAGAAGAAAAGATGCCTAGAGAAAATGTGTCACACTAGGGGAAATTCAGGTTTTTTTTAAATATTGCCTTATAAAATTAAGAGCTAAAAACTTGTATATTATTAAAGTATGGTGATAGGGTTAATGGTGTAGAGATATTCCTCTGCTATGGAACTGTATCCTTAGGTTCCTTCAAAAGGACAAATTTTGCATTTCCTCCTTGATAGAAAACTTTTCTAACATAATAATGCAACAATCCATTACATGTGCATGACCCAAAATTGGTTGCATATGTATAACAGTGACCTCAGTCATACTCACTTCTTAGCAAAATCACTATATTTCAAATTAATTGAATATCCTTTGGAAGAATTTGAGTACCATATTTGTCATCACAATTCTCTCCAGAGATCTGTGCTGTGAACCAATTACAAACAACATCTTCAACAAATAGGCTACAAATTAACAAAGGAGTTAAAAATATAATTGTGGATACAACGTTTCGGGCAATGCCCTTCTTCAGTATCACTAACTGAACAGTAAATCCATAAACGAAAACATTCTAAATCAAAGGTCGCATGACGTGACAATGTAAGAAATATACGTGTATAACAATGCTTACAAACAATTGAAGCAATAGAAAGTGATATATATATACACACACACACATACATACAAGTGCACGCACACATATCTATACATACATATACATATATAAATATATATGCATATACACACACATGCGAGCACATGCACACACATACATACATATATATGCATTATACTTTAAAAAGAATAGATACATATTTTACTGAATAAAACTTTTTAAGAAAGGTTTGTTTCTTTGTTTGTTTTGAATTTCATGCAAAGCTACACATGGGCTATCTGTGCTAGCAGTCCATAATTAAACAGTGTAAGACTAGATGGAAGGCAGCTAGACATCACCAACCACCGCCAACTCTTGGGCTACTCTTTTACCAACTAATAGTGGGATTGACAGTTACATATAACACTCCATGGTTGTGCAAATTGAAGTGTCGGGCCACTGATTTATCTACATTACAATTTATTATGTCTCCGAGGTGTTCTCTGGTACGTTCTTCTAATAATCTACTGGTTTCTCCTGTGTACTTTTCCACAGCATGAGTAAACAATAGAATATATGAAGCATTTTGATGTGCAGTTAAATTGATCCTGAAAGTAAAAACTCGATTTAGGACCCTGCACAGATGTTCTTGAGTCAGTGTAGAATCAATTTAAATCTAGGCTATTATTGCTGCAAAAGGTGGTTCATCTTAATACTGTATGAGGATCCTAATAAAAGTGCTATTGAATGATTTAGCTTGAACACTCAAGAAATCAGTATTTGGAAGAAAGATAAAACTTACTTTTACATTAAAGTATCTAACAAGAGGAATCAGAAAGATTGCATACCCTTGCTCTGCCTCTCCTTTTCAAAATTGCATGCATATATATTAGATAACATCAAATGTCAGCTTTGAAAACTCAGAAAATCCTTATTCAGGTTCAGAATGATCAATGATCTGGATCACTTTTTGTAGTGTGACGAGGAGTCTCAGCCTTAATGCGCCAATTAAATATGGTACAATTCCAATCACACTTTACAGAGTTATAAAGCCAAAACCCCCAAAATGCCATATCTCCCCATTCTAAAAAATGCTTCAAATTGATCCAGAATCTGGATCTTGATTTAGGAAGAACTGTCCCAAACTTACTTCCCATCTTGTATAAACTTTCCATGTACTTTGGTCTATTAGTTTTGAGGTACACACACAGAAACACAGACAAATAAACACACATGAACCAGGTTGCAATACCCTCACCCCCATAATCATGTTATAAACTTAGATCTTGTAAAAACCAATAACCATTAAATTATGTGTAGGTGTTCTACATTTAGTTACATGACATTCTTGTAAACAGGATGTAAAAAGTTGAAAACTTGTGCTAATCCTTTATCTTATACAAAGGTTAAATACTACAATAATTATTTGACAATACTAAATAATTTTAGCCAAATCAAACAACAAATCAGTGCTTGAATAAAACAGCAGTCACTAGTAATTTGCTTTTGTATTGTTGTCCTAAACAATGTAAATCTGATCAGTGAATGTTAAAAAGTTAATATTTATCAAATAAAGAAGTTAGAGAAAAGGTGACTAACCAGTCAAAGCTTGTGTATCTTCTTCCTGAACAATTGTTTCCACATCTTGTCCATACACTTCCTCTGCAGTTGGATAGTATTTCTTGTCCTCGTGTAAAATAATCTGCATCTGTGGACCCTCCTCTTCATCCCGACTTTCATCCATGGTATCATCCTGTGGAATGTTAAAAAGGATTGAACTGTATTGAAGACACTAATTAAAACATCTCAATATACTGAGTTTGTAAGGTCATCAGTATCAGCCAGCAGAACATAATACTATAGAAGACTAAAATTAAACATTTTGTTGGTGTGAACATGCTTTATAGTAACTATGAGAAAAACCTATACATTTGATAGATGAAGTGAAGAAAAGGTGTCATTGGCCACTATTCAGTTCTTCACATTATATAGTAGAGATATTAAACTTAGTATTCCAAAAATTGTTTAATCTTGAAGTCTAAGTTCAAGGGAGGTCCAGTTCAATCTACACTTTGATCAACGTGTGTTATTGGGTTATACTAGTTTCGGAGAATCCCACTCCTCACCAGTAACCCTGCTATTATGCAGCTATATAATGTGAAGAACTGAATAGTGGCCATTGACATTTTTCTTTTCACTTCACCTATCCAGTGCATAGGTTTTTCTCAAAGTAACTATAAAGTACATTCAAACCAACAATATGTTTGATACTTTTCACTATGATACAAGTCCAGCTTATCTCTCTTTGGTTAACCCTTTCGATACGGGTCATAGGTGAAAGGCCATGTCATGTCATTTTTTGACTCGCATTTAAAATTTTATTGAACTACTATTTCATGAATTTATGTCAAAAAGTTTGGTATCAAATTGTAGATTATAATTCAAATTTTAGAACTATACATTACTCAATTTCTTAATTTAAAAGTAAATATAAAAAAATACAGATAAACATCGATTTTCTATTTGCTAAGATATTGCTCATGTAATACATCAAACACAGTGGCACCCCACCCACCTCCTTCCATTTTTGGAATATACACTTACATATACTTACTTCTATATATGACAGGAATAACCAATAAGAAGCTCAGAATGTCCCCTAGTGGCTTTCTTAGCCATTTTAATGGACATGACACCATTTCTTTCTTTTGAACCAATATTTCAATGAGGTAGGGTGTGCCGTTAGTTCGCTCTAAATTTCATAATTTTTTAGACTAAAATACATCTTAGTTACTAAACTTTATAAATTATAGTGGAATTCTATGGTATTAATGTAGTAATTTATGATTTTTTTAGTCATTCAAATGTATATGTAAAACCTGAAAAAATATTTTTTGTTTCATATCCTCCACATCCAAAATTTTTAAAGGCTTAGCAACCTATATCAAGCAGCAACCAAGTACAAATGTCGTAACTACAAGAGATAATTGTTTGCTTTACTTCTTTATTTAGTGTTCTATGTTTTAGGAAAAATATGTTTAAGAATTTATTTCAAAATAGCAATCTATATACATATATTATGTATGATAATTGAAATTTGACTGTATTTTACAAAATACTAGTCAACTAAAACACAGCCAAGACCAGTTACTTTGTACAAACCAAAGGTCACCTTTATGTTATTTGATATGGTAACATGAGTGCAAGTGAGCCGCATCGTTGTAACTTCTATATTGTTAGCCAGGCACAGATGAAAGATTAATATAATAAAAATAATAAATATATGTAAATGTATAATGTTATGAGATTTAAGCTATTTAGTCTAAACATTTATATTTTCATGTTATAATCTACGTTCATTCTAGAATGAAGGAGGCATAATTTATGTTGATTTCCTGATTTTTATGGTGGTTGCAAGATTGGTCAAATCTTCTGAACCCATACAGAGATTAATTACTGAAAATAACAGATAAAATATAAAGTTTTTTCTTAAGAAATGCTTGATAACTACCTGGACATTATAAAGATTTCACATATGAAATTGCACAATTTTCTGATACATAAAAGTATTTTTAATCTTAAAATGAAAATTACTTTACATGATAGATAGGCAAGTTGTGAAAAGAAAAAAAGGCATAAGAGAAACATTGCAAAATATCTAATTTTTTTATTAAGTCATAAGGTTTGTAAAACGTATGAAAGCATTGTAATGTTTACTGAGAAACTGCCAAATTTCATTAACATTTGCTTACTAATTTAGAAGTTATAGCATGAAACTATAACAAGCACAAAATGGTTACGAGGTAAGTCCCAGGTACTGAGCCCAGGTTGAAAGTGTCATTATGCTTGGACTTTGATTCCACGGGTTTATGCATGGCTAACATTTCATATCCATAAAAACCTGCTCCTCTTTTTGAGACTGTAGATGTGCTATAAACATGAGGGTCAAACGTCAGTGTTCTATTAGACAACAATAGTCCAAGAGTTGATGGTGGGTTCTATTAACTATCTATCTTCTTCTTAATCTATCAGTTCAAAATTAGAGATGGCTGTGCACAGTTAGCCCCTATGTAGCTTTTCATAAACATTATGAAACAAACGAACTAATTAGTTTTCCACTCAGTGTGTATCTGAGGCCAAGTCATGTATTACATTTCTCAGTCTTGATTTAGACTAGTATTGTTTAAATTCTGGATGCTATCAGTTTTTATCTGAGACCAAGTCATGTATTACATTTCTCAGTCTTGGATTTAGACTAGTATTATTTAAACTTTGGATGCTATCAGTTTTTATCTGAGACCAAGTGAGGTATTACATTTCTCAGTCTTGGATTTAGACTAGTATTATTTAAACTTTGGATGCTATCAGTTTTTATCTGAGACCAAGTGAGGTATTGCATTTCTCAGTCTTGGATTTAGGCTGGTATTATTTAAACTTTGGATGCTATCAGTTTTTATCTGAGACCAAGTGAGGTATTACATTTCTCAGTCTTGGATTTAGGCTGGTATTATTTAAACTTTGGATGCGATCAGTTTTTATCTGAGACCAAGTGAGGTATTACATTTCTCAGTCTTGGATTTAGACTAGTATTATTTAAACTTTGGATGCTATCAGTTTTT